GTAACATAAGATACGTACGGCAGAATTCCCTGCCATAAATAAAACGATTTGGCTAACGCCAATGTAACGCGAAATAGGTGCAAAGAGTTTTTCGATAGGAAGCGTAAACCGAAAAAAAGGAAAAAAAAAAAAAAAAAAAAAAGAAAGAAAGAAAGAAAGCCTGAAGAAAAGGAGAAATTAGAAAAAAAATCTCTGGTGACTTGGCCAAAAAAAATTCTGTTCATGTGATTTTTCTTGTCACGTGAGCAAACAAAAAAAAAACGAAAAAAAAAAAAAAATAACACGAGAAAAAAAACCATCCCCTGCCCGGTTTCGAAGCTAGGCCCTTTTGATCGTGAAACTAGCGCGCTATCCGTTGCGCCAACATAACTTTTTTTTTCTTTCTTTATTGCAAGTTGCGCCAACATAACTCTGCCTGTAATGCTCATGCATTCCGACATCATAGGCGAAAGCTTAGGTGCCTTCGCAGTTTTTCATGCATGTGTTATTTTTATTTGTGGCAAGAGTTCACGTCCAGAATGCTTTTAGAGTTTTCAACCAAAACGAGTTTTCTTCTTCCGAGTCACCTTCTAGAGCCAGTAGACCGCACTGGGTCGTCCGGCTAATCAAGCAGCTATTTTCAAATTCTCTGGCGTGCCCGTCCTCGGATCCGAGGTCGCCGTTTGACAAGCTTAACTTTCTTCCACCTTTTAGCCGGAACCCCACGGCAGCTTTGTTCCGTCCCCACTCCCTCTCGAGAGGATGGCTCGCCCCGAGGCTAATCCCATTCTCTAAACCTCTTTTCATCCAACGCTTGACCTTTCCCTCCCCGTCCCCCGGCTTCGGGAGAGAAGGTTCTTCTCTGCAAACGTCCCGTTTGTACAGCGGCCTTTAAAGTTCAAAGATTGTCCTGTCTTTATCGTCCCTTTTGTGTCTCCACTTTTTAATGTTTAAAAAGTATCAACACGCTAAAATAGTACAATTTCCGGAATTTCATTTTCATCCCCCAAGTGTGATGTGGGAACCGCGCCATAGAGCCACGGTCGTTTCCGCACTTTGTTATCGCTAGGATTTGACAGTGCTCAATCACGATGCAAGACACGCACAGAGCCACGCTCGCTTTTGCAATGCGCCGCCTAAAGGGGTGTCCAAACAGGACACGACTCCGACAAATCGTGAAAATTGAAGCGGGCTTGAAGTGGGCGCGTCCGCTTCAATTTTCACGATTTGTAGGACTCGTGCGTTTTGTAGTGTCCTGTTTGGACACCCCTTAATAATGATATATCTTGTTGAGACGTGCGCACATCCGTCTTGTGCAGTGTTAGCTCAACGGCAGCACTTTCTGTAAAGGCGGATTCACACCGGGGATAGCAGTCGCGCGATCCAACTGAATCGCATCGCAAAAAAAAAAAAAAAAAAGTAATTAGTTGGTCAATTTGGCGTGCGCGATGAGCGAGTCCAATGCCTTCGTTGGCGAGTCGCGTCTCAAAAACTCTCGCTCCGAACGCCGTTGGTTGGCTCGGCCTCTCCGCGACTAGAGTGCATCGCAAAACGTCGGGTCAGCAAGCGACTGCTCAAAACCCGTCACTTTTTGCCCGCGACGGTCGCTTTTGCGATGAAAGTTATGGCGCGACTAGATCGCGTCGCCGGTGTGAACGCGCCATAATGTCGAACCAGTCTCACGGCGCGTCCCGATATTGGCTTGTGTACCTACGCGCGAGTAAAACATCTGCCACAATTTGCGTTTGCAAAGCCTGCTGCAGCCGCGTCAAAACATTCAGCCCACCTTTGGACTGCAGAAATCAAGAGACAACCAAAATAAGATAAAGTTGCCAGCCGAATAAAACTTGATTTCTATTTAATTAAGATGAAGACCACTCGCGTACATCAAATACCTCATCAGCCGAACTCCAAGGCAGTAAGCCTAGTTCTGGCACTTGTTTGGCACCTTTGGCCCGTCGCTGCCAGATCACAGCCAAACTATCGGGAAGCGAAGCCTAACTTGGGCACTCGCTTGGCGACTTGGGCCCAAAGATGCCAGATCTCAACCGAACTACGAGGTAGTAAGCCTAACTCTGGCACATTTGTGGCGATTTTGGCCCGAATGTGCTAGGTGACAGCCGAACTGTCAAAAAGTGAAGCCTAACTTTGGCATTAGTTTGGCGATTTTGGCCCGAAAATGCCAAAGCTCTGCCGAACTACAAGGTAGTAAGCCTAACTCTGGCACATCTGTGGCGATTTTGGCCCGAATGTGCCTGGCGACAGCCGAACTGTCAAAAAGTGAAGCCTAACTTTGGCATTAGTTTGGCGATTTTGGCCCAAAAATGCCAAAGCTCTGCCGAACTACAAGTTAGTAAACCTAACTCTTGCACATCTGTGGCGATTTTGGCCCGAATGTGCCAGGTGATAGCCGAACTATCAAAAAGTGAAGCCTAACTTTGGCATTAGTTTGGCGATTTTGGCCCAAAAATGCCAAAGATCTGTCGAACTAACGGGCAGTAAGCCTAAATCTGGCATTTGTTAGGCGATTTAGGCCCGAAGATGCCAAATAATAATCGAACTACCCGGCAGCGAAGCCTAAGTTTGGCACTTGTTTGGCGGATTAGGGCCAAGATACCCAGACTGCTGCCAAGGGAGGTCAGGTTTGGCACTACTTTGGCTTCTTCGGGCTTTTTAATGCCCTAAACTGCCAGACGCAAGCCAAGTTTTGGCCCAGAACTCGGTGCTGCCTGGGCTCGGACAAATGGTCCAACGCATCAACGCTGCACAGTTTTCGTTGACAGATGAAGAATATCAAACGGCTATCCTAATAATGTCTGGCATTACGAAGCTTAAGTGCACATCTATGCCGTCCTCATTTTCCTATCATCACCAATAGCCACCACGGATATCACCGAACCCTCGGGATTGTTTTACTGATGTGAGCCACAGATCCAAGCATAGAGGAGTAGCCCACCTGTTTCCAGCACTGCGCCAGCCAAAAAATGTATCGCCTAGATTAGAATTAGTTTAATATTGCTACTCACAAGAGACCTAACAAGGGATCGATATTAAAACGTTCCTATCAATACGTGGTCATAATGACACCATGTGCGATTCTTTGTCCTTGTCTTTAAGTTCGGGTAACTACAAAATGATTTTACATGTATACGAAGACGGCGCCCAGTGATATAATATCTGCAGTCGCTGAAAGCATGCCCGCCTTGTGCAGGTGAAAGTGTTTCGCATTATCAATGCCGTATTAAATGCTTCCTAAGCACGCACGCAAGTAATAGGCGGAATCGGCCGCCAGAGCACTGAAAGGGGTACGACAGCCACTGACGAGGAGCCGACCGGGCCATCGGACCGGCAGAGCAGAGCAAGCCAAACGTGTAGGAATCCGCGTTCTGATTCGTATTGGACGCTAATGTAGATAAAAACTCGAACCTCGTGGAATCCTAAATTGCCTTCGTCCTACGGCTCTTTATGTCAAAAGCTGAAAAAATAACAATTCCGTCTTGATCAGGCCACACTGGATTCGCCGGGATCGTTTTGGATCGACCGGAGCAATCGAAGCGGTTGACTTGATCCGGCGCGAATTGGAGTCGGGCGCCTCGGATCGAGCGTGGATTGAAGTCGGAGCTGCCTGATTGACACTGGACAAAATCGAATTTGACTTTGATCTTACATCTTTGCACGGCAGCTAAGAGAATGGGGGAGAGATGGGGAGAAAGATGGAAAGGGAGCGAAGGGAAGGAAGGCAGATGGAAAGGACAACCTACGAGGTGAGAGACGGGGAGATACATAAAATGGGAAGGAGAGGAATGGGGAAAGGAATTCGGTGTGTCATGTGACGTATACTTCCCTCCTAAATTGAACGGGAAACTGAGAGCGGGGCTTAAGCAGAAGATTTTATGTTAATTGCTTGAAAATACGTTAATTTGTACACAAAACAAGCTAATATATCACATTAAACTAGTCGCATGCATTACTCCCGCACGCAGAAGTAAAGTAGCTTTAATACTAAGTGTCCCAAGCAGCGGCCAGGCTCCTTAAATCGACTGCAAAATTCGGTTTCTTACCCTATCGCACTACTACTTTGTGCGGCGTCGAACACAAATGGTGCATTTACTTTGTACAATTTGCCAAGAGCGAACTTGCCAGAGGAAGAAGTAAAGAAAGAAGAAGGCTTAGCTGATATGGAAACGCAGCGAAGCCACCGATTTTCAAAGAATACGGCGCCGTTTCGCACGAGAGAGAAGAGATGGCTCAAGCGGTCGCGACGCCAACTGCCGCCAACGAACGAGCATACGGCGCCGAGAGCCGGCGTCTTTAGCATAAGATCCATTCGACTCAAAAGCGGCGGGAGCTTTTCTGATATCAGTTGGCATGCATTATTTTATCATCCTTACTAATATTACTAATATAACATATTGAATGACACATAATCGATTAAAAATGGTTTGTCAGAATATTTTGACTTTTTTTTTTGTCTCAGGGTACGGATGTCATCTGTTTTGCAGCTCCTTCTTGTCGCCGCGTATGTCTGGTTCTGCGAACGTCGCCGCCTGCGGAACGCGCGCCGCTTTTGAGTTGAAAGATCGTATGCCAAAGACGCCGGCTCTCGGCGTCGTATGCTCGTTCGTTGGCGTCAGTTGGCTTCGCGACCGCTTGCGCCATCTCTTGTCTCCCGTGCGAAACGGCGCCGTACTGTATGAAGACCGGTGGCTTCGCTGCGTTTCCATAGGTTCTAAGCCTTCTTCTTTTTTCACTTTTTCCTCAGGTAAGTTCGCTCTTTGGAAATTTTACAAAACAAATGCACCATCTGTGGGCGACGCTGCACAAAGTAATAGCGCGATAGGTTAAGAAACCGAATTTAGCGGTCGATTTAAAGAGCCTGGCCGCTCCTTGAGACACCCAGTATATTAGAGATGCATGCAGTATGCTTTGTTAGTTACAAATCGAGCTTCAGACGAAAGAGTGCGTAGCATTTGTTCAGAATTGAATAAGAATATCGGAACACGCACACGGTCGATACTTACCGTATTAAGAAATATACTTATGTATTGCCGAAGAGGTGTAGTGTGATTTTTTTCTTGGCGTGCCTTGACCAACGAAGTATCACATACAAAACGTACGCCTAGTGTTATATCTGGCATCATGGATATGGTATTCGCCCCTGAAACATAAAATTATGACCACAAGCTTGAAAGACAGCTTAGAAATATCACTTCTTCTTAAAGTTAAAATCATTAATAATACCAAAATCATACGCACATAATTTCTTAAGCCCTCATGTGCATCCCTCAATAGCCTTCCTATTATACTGTCCGCTATTTTCTTCTGAATAGACTCTTTCCGAAATTCAGTCTAGTCGCTTGGAGAGCTATCATCACCTAAGTGTGTATGATCTGTACATGCTAATGGAGGCTTTTTGATGGCTGGTGAAAAAATAATTTTAAGAAAGAAACCGATGCGGAGCCTGAGCATCCAGACCTTACTTCGTTGTATTCTTGTTTGATGACGTCGAGACGAGATTTGTTAAGTTTTTGCGCTCTACGCATTTGTTGCTGTCATGTAAGTCCTTGGAATGCTCGGCTTCGGCACGCCCCAGACAGTTCGTGACACATGATAAAATGTTATTTTTTTAATAGGGTTACTTAACTATACGCGCCTTGTGCAGTGGTAGTTTCTTGACACCATCGAAACTGAAGCGAATAGAGAGATAACTGCTCATGGAAAAACACCGTAACTTTCGTACATCTACCGTTGATGAATAGGTAACAGATTTTATCTGCCAAGAGCATACAACAATTTGGACTAATATTTCAGACACTAGATGACACTGAATTCGTGAAAGGGTCTATTCCTTGATAAAAAAAGTGAACGCCGTTTAAAACTCCCTGTAACGCCGAATTAGAGCGCAGCCCTTGAGGAGGAGAAGGGAAGCGTACTGAGGGTCACGTATTCTCGGGGGGGGGGGGGGGGGGGGGTCACGTGACCTCGGGGGAGGGTGGTCCACGCGGGGAGTCACGTGACCCTCCCCCCCCCCCCCCCCGAAGTCACGTGACCCCCCAGAGAAATTTTTCCGCTAGAATCAGCGGGGAAAGTTTCCGCTGAATCTATCGGGGAATTTTTTCCGTTAGATTTAGCGGGGAAACTTCTCCGCTAGATTTAGCGGGGAAATTTTTGCGCAAGATGTAGCGGGGAACTTTTTTCGCTAGATTTAGCGGGGAGATCTTTCTGCTACATTTAGCGGGGAATTTTTTCCGCTAAACTTAGCGGGGACATTTACCCATAATGCACCGCGCGGTCACGCCCACGGCGACGGCGACAGCGACGCCGACGCGGTCACCGACGCCGACGCCGCTCAAGCCGGAAACGGGCGCCAAAGAGCTGCGCTCTAAAAAATGTGCGGTTAAGAGAGAACTAGACTAAAACTTCTTTCCCCGTCTTATTTCACCGGACATTGTTATTTCATTTATAAAAACATTAAAAATTATAGTTTATCAAGATATAAATATTATTTAGATAAACTATAATTAGTTCAACCTAAGACTGGGGCCCAATGAGGGAATCGTTTTGACAATGGTATAAAAAGAAAGATATAGACTACGGCTTGAACTCAACCAATGATTTTATTAAAACATTCGTCCTATATACGCCGATCCACACAACAGAACATCTTGTTTTTTAGGACACGCACAAAACCCAAAACAAGAAAAAATTTCTAAACCGCCACCGACTTTAGATAAGATAAACGATTTTGGGCTACTTTGCATCTATATGAAAATGTAATAATTTCTACACAAGGCACAATGTTTTTGGGTGTTTTCATCTCAATTCAGGCAGTGTTTTGGGGTCCATCTTCTAATGTTGACAAAACATGTATGTTTAAAAAGCATTCTCATTTGATATCAACGAGCGCGCAAACGGCAAGGTTTCAAATTTGTTTTTTCCGAGTTGTGTTGTTGCCCGTTGAAGTGGCCGAGGCGACAACTGACGTTCCTCCCACCGGTCGGGGATCGCATGTTTGACCGCTCACTATTTTCTTTTTCACAAAATAAAGCGCAGAGTATTTTGTGACACTCCCAAACGAGATAATATTAAACTTAGAAAATAAAAAAAAAAAATTGTAAGAACCTAAAATTTGGGACCAAAATATACCAAATTTGGTATCGATTTTATCAAAAACACATTGCTTATTTGCTTTACTTTTTTTAGCAGTAAACTATAATAGTTCCTTATAAGAAAATATAAATACTACTTCGGTAAATTTGTTTATGTCAAAGCAAGCCAAGGTTGAACCTTGAGAGATGTGCACTTAAAAATACTGCACTTGGACTCTTCTGTGAAACTCTCAAAATATATGTATTACGCTATATGAATAAAAAGAATAAGAATTTTCAAAGTATTTAAAAAGTCGGACTTTCTTCCTTTGTAGATTTGTTTGTGTGGCCTATTTGAGAAATTTTAATAACCTTCATATCACTGGAATATATAAAGATGGCTCTTGTTATTAACTACAAATTATATCTGATATTGTAGTAGACACGAATCGAGGGCTTTACTGAGGGTTTATTCTAGTGCACCAGGTCGGAGGGGCATGACCAGCTGACAGGTTTCCAGCTCGCCGAAGAACGGAATGCACGAGCTCCCATGTCCGAGCTCGTGCTCTGCTGACAAAGACGACGATCGTCTTTTGCAGTCACCACATTTTCTTCCCTCTTAGGAAGGCTTGTAGCGATTCGGCTTGAGGTGGCTGCGGGCCGGATATCGCCTACTGGGGTCTGGCTGCAGTGGAGACCCCGCAGGAGCTGGCCTGTTCGTGGCCTCCTGCTGGGTGTAAACCTGAGAAGGCCCTGGCGCATCCATTGGGAAGATTGAAGTGTCGGGATCGTTATATGCCAACCTTGGTTTCAAGTGATCTGCATGGACCCGACGTGCTTTGTTACCTTCATCTGAAACTTCATAATGACGTTGACATTTTTTTTTTGTGACAACAGCTTTTATCCAGTGTTGTTTGTGGAGAGGATGTTTTACTCACGCTTTCTGTTTCTTGCGAGCGTAACGGTTCCCTCGTCTTTCTTTGCCGTTTCGGCATGAGTCTGTACTTTGGAAGGCTTCAATAAGTGGAGAACCGTCCGGTAGGCCTGCTCGTGAGCAGTTGACAGGGGGTTCTACTGTTGAGGTGTGGTAAGTGAGCCGGTACTTAGGCAAAGTCTCGGATGGCTGCCTTCCTCTCTCTTCCGGAGGAACGTCGAAGAGCAGTCTTCAATGCCTTCACAAAAGTATCCGCTTGTCCATAGAACTTCGGGGGATACGGCGGGGTAAAGAGATGAAAAATACTGCCGCTCTGCACGAATTTTTTTAACTACCGAGCTGATGAAATGTCGCCCATTATCGGCGACAAGTTGTTGTGGCAGGCCTTGACGAGAGAACATTTCCGGCAAAGCGTCGATGGTATCTGCCACTGTTATGGATTTCATCGGCATAACCTCGTACCATTTCCTAAAAAGCATCTATGACAATAAGATAGCTTAGCTGATCTAGCTGCGCAGTCAGCATGAAGTTTCTGCCACGGGGTTTCAGGAGCTTCCCAGTGGTGAAGAGAAACGTGTGGTTTGTTATCGCAAACACTGCTGCAGGGCTCGCATTGCTGCGTCGTGCGCTCAATGTCTCTGTCGATGTGTGGCCACCAGACGTACAACCCTAACCACATCTTCATTTTTGTTTGTCCTACGTGTCCTTCATAAGGAAGGTCTATCACTTGGTGCTGGAACTTGCGTTGAACTACGGTTCGCGAATTCCATAGGATGCAACCGTTGAGGATGGTTAATTCTGATTTCTGTATTTGGAATGGCATGAGGTCGGAGTCCGTCACCTTTTCTGGCCCGCCCTGACTGATGTACGGGTGTACTCGGGAGAGGACAGGATCAGACGCAGTTTCCGTGGCGATGTCCTTTGCCTTCACTGGTAGCGTAGACAAACTCTGGGTGTCAAGCGCAAAGACAAATGGCAAGCGGAAAACTCCGCTTGCCATTTCTTCGTCGAATTCCTCGTCGGGACCTTGTGCGAAACGCGAAAGCCCATCAGCGTTTCCGAACTTTGCCGTTGGCACGTACTCAATGGTGTAGCTGTAGTTAATTAGTATGAGGTCCCAACGCTGGAGTCTGTTCGCCGATGTCACGGGTGTTCTTTTCATGGGGCAAAGGATGATTGTCAGAGGTTTGTTGTCAGTATAGAGCAAAAACTTGCGTCTCCAAAGGTACTATTAAAACTTAGAGACTCCAAAAATGATAGTAAGTGCTTTCTTCTCTATTAGTGCATAAGCACAAACTGATGTGGAATGTTCCTTGCCATTGGTCTCGTGGTATACCACCGCGCCCGCGCTTTCCGACGATGCATCCGCCGCAAGGTAAATTGACAGATCAGGGTTGAAATGAACTAGTGCCTCCGTAGCCGTCAGTTGTTGTTTGATGTTTTCAAACGCATCTACGCACTCGGAGCTCCGTCGCCCGGTGGTGTCTTTTCTCAATAGCTTGTTCATTGACGCACATTCGTCAGCAAGTTTCGGAAGGAACTTGCTGTACTGCTGCACCATGCCGAGGGGAGATTAAAGCGGGCTGATGTTGTTCGGTTCTAATATATTAAGGATATCCGAGATCCTTTTATGGAAGACGTGAAGCCGTCGGTGGAAACGACTTGCCCGAGGTACTCGACCTTTTCTTGAAGAGAGGCGCATTTTTGCCTCTTGAGCGTGAAGCCGTATTCCTGTAACCGCTGGAGCACTTGTTCACGATTACAGAGGTATTCAGGAGTGTCTCCCCCAGTGACGATGATATCATCGAGGTAACAGGCAACGCCTTCGAGCCATGCAATTACCTGTTCCATCGTGCGCTGGAACACTGCTGGGGCGGAGGCGACTCCAAAGGGCATCCGGTTGAATTGGAATAGACCTTTGTGCGTGTTGATCACGAGAGCCATTCTTGCCTCTTCATCGAGTTCCAGCTGGACATACGCTTCTCAGAAGTCTAGCTTCGTGAATTTGTTGCCTTCATTTAGTTTAGTGAAAAGTTATCCTGAACGTGGCAGTGGGTACTGGGTTATGTCGAGCTGAGGATTCACGGTGACACTGAAGTCACCACAGACTCGAACCGATCCATCCGACTTTGGGACGACCGCAATCGGAGTGGCCCACTGCGAGAAGTCCATAGGTGTGAGAACGTTGTTCTTGACGTGCTTCGCCAAGTCTTTCTCTACTGCTTTTCGCCTAGCAAACGGTATTGAACGGGGCTTGAAGAAATTTGGTGTTAGGCAGGAACAGGAGTTGTGCTTGCACAAGTGGGAACAAGTGGGCACTTGTGCCCACTCGTGCCCACTCGCAGCGTGGAGCGGGTTCGTTTCAGCCGGCACTCCACGAGTTGTTGCAATATCCGGTCCCGTTTCACCGCCGGCACCCCATGCGTGCATGCACTTTCTGCACCGAGAAAATCGAGCGTGCGCCGAAAACAATCCTGTCATACCCTGCTCTGGCGAGGAGCGGAAGCAACGACAAAGGACCGTGTGTTACGATGTCTCTTTCGTGAGGCGGAACCGAAAGGATAAAACGTTTATTTTCTGATATTAATCGCATCCCGCGGGCAACGCAATCAAACGAGAGTTTGAATTGTGAGCGTCTGCTATTTTATAAAGGAAGCAATTGACAAACCGCGCTTTATTTGAAAGTTTCTAGTCGCTTTGTTGCCGTACAGGCGCTTAAAGATACCAGTGTGTGAAGAAATGCTCAGAGCAATCACACCAGCTGCTCCCGATATCTTTATCACCATACGTGTAAGGGTGAATAATGGAATATTTGTCGTCGAAGTTCCCCCAGCAGAAACCTCTGAGTGTTCAATGAGCATCCGACAAAGCTAAACCTAGTGACTTTACCTCAGGCTTAGGCAACATCACCATGTTTAGCATTTACCAACGTCAGCTATCTTTCCCCGTGGTTTTTTGTTTGAGGAAGCTCCCGTTCTCGACGCCCACACCAAAGCTAAATTCTGATCCACCTGCAACTACGATCGAAATCGAGAGTCCCACTAAACGTTTTGCTGGACATCCCAACAGACCCTTTCCGTGGTTCACGCATAATAATATGCTCAAACGGATCAAGCTTCTGCGGGGACAGCATCATCCGCTTTCTCCAGTGTAAACCCCAGCTGCTTTGTAGTCAGCCAATTGCGGAAATTTACGCCATCTGTAAATATCTCTCCAACAGCCGAGTTGCTTGACGTCATCGCAAATAAAAACTACAGGTTGCAGCGACCAAAGTTTATAGAGAAACGTGCGTACGGACTGCACTCTCGCATTCCCAGGCATCATGTCGAACAGAAATGCGCTTGTTTCGGTTTGAGGTCGGTACTCTTTCTACAAAATAGATGGCGGCCGCATCAGTCTTCTGCACTCGGTGCGTTCCACAAGTTTGTTTGAGGACAGTTCTCCGTGCGACACTCTGCGAGTGAGATGCACACGGAGAGAACTCGAACCGTGCCAGTGCGTGCGAAGCGAACTCGCTCTAAGGCTGCTTACGTGCGGGAAGGGTAAAGCATAACACACGCACTGGGCACAGATTTAGTCTGCCGGAAGCGTGGAGCCGTCCTGGCGTCGGGGAAGCGCGCTCGTCCGTCACCCCATAAGCCCGGGTTTGATTCCCACCCGGACCGAAATCTAAAAAATTTTCATTTCAAATCCATTATTTTCTTTTGTTTTGATGTACTTTACTCTTTGCGCTGCGCCACCAGCAGTTCGGCTGACCCTTTAGCAACGATGACGCCGTTGATATGGAGCCACATGATGCGTCGCAGCAAATGGAAATTTAAGTGCTGTTTCATTCAGGGGAAGTTAGTTGCCGTTTATCGCTGCTACAGACAACAATTAAACTGGCTTCAAGCTCAAAAAGCGCCGGATCGCCTTATGAGAACATTTCATGTTTTCGCATTAAAAGAGCCATAATGTTCACGAATCTGTTCTTTAGGGCTAGTAAAGCAAAACACACAATTAACACTGCATTTTCGATACCGACAGATATTATAAAGATAGAGTTTGTTAGCGTTTCCTGAGACCCACATCTAAACTCCTAGAACCGTAGAAAATTTTATTCGTAGTTCGATCCTAGGCGGTAAAAGTTTAGGCTCGTCAGTACCTAAAAAAAGAAAGAGCAATGATCCGTTGTAAGTGTTAACTGCCTCACGCAGATATTATAAGAAATTAATTTAAGAGTTTAAAGTAGAGAGGACTTGATGACCATATTTACATTTTATTCAAAAAAAAGCTCTTCACTTACCGACCATAGTGCCTCCCAGAGCCATGAACATCACCCAGGATTTCATCTTGGGTAAAAGCTTTCGAATCCGCGAAGACGGCTGACTATTGTGTCCCTCACACTTTATTGCCGACCTTTAGAGTGAACTGCCAAGCCTCAAATGGGTAAAATATTGTTTCAACAAAGAAGCAACATGTCGACTGCAGTAGAAAGTAAACAGGATATACGTACGTCATAGAAAAAGTGTTTGTCTTTGTTCTTGTTAAGTATTTCAGCTATTTAACAATTTCCATAAGAGTAAACTGAATTAGTTATGCATTAATGAAAGTTTATTTATTTATGTATGCTATTCTTACTGCTAATTATACGAACATTTTATTTTCTAGCATTTAGGCAGTGTCGGACAAATTTGTTACGCTCACAACAACCGAAGACCCTTCATTGCTGACTGCTGACTGCAATAGAGATTCGACGGCTGAACAGAAAACGTTCTGCACTGAACCATCCTGCAAAATAAATTAACTTGGCGTGAACGTTTAATTTGAAGCAGTGTTTTAGTCTGGTTGAAAATAACGTTCTGGCCACTGTCAACTGCGCTCATTTTATTAGTGGCCTTGTCCATGTTTGTGGTTTATAACGGCGGAAAAACTGAAGGCACTTAGGACTGTGAATTACACTGATTTTCTTTTCCCAATGCCTGTGCCACGCGCGTGCGTAAAAGTAATATTGTTTAGCAACATGGTAGTCTAAATATCCTTCATTTTTCGGTTAATTGTATTGAGAATTAAGGGTAATATAAAACTATATCGGGCTCAAATTTTACGAGCGGTGCATTGCCGATTGAGATTATACATATACCAGCACATGAGAGTGGGATATAAAGACGTATGTTTTGCTGCGAAATTGTGTAAACAACTACACGCAAGCTCTTTACATACTTTTTTTTATAAATTGTTTGAGCCCCCTTGTGTTCGTTTATCGACTAGTACCACCAATGTTCATAACAGTCACGTACTTATTAGGTACTGTTCATATTATGTGCGGTGCGCCAGACATTGTTAGAGATCGGCAATCTTTGTTGCCAGACGAATACACCACATATGTGTAACGAACTATTTTTTGACGAACTGGTTGCTATCGACCACAACCTTAGTGGTAACGCAATGCTGGGGTACAGTCTCTTCAGTCGAAAACGACAGCCGACACTACAGACTTGAATGTATTTGCGGTTGATATAAAGAAAAAACTGAATCGAGTTTTACTTATTTTAAGGGAGTTTAGGTAGGATTTTGCGCTTTCGAAGCTGATATTTTGTGAAAATCGGAGGGTGTTTAATGAAGGAAATTTGTGTTCCGTAAAAAAGTTGGGAGTTTATCGGTTTTTATTTCTGTTAGATGTTCAATTATATTTCCCTCAAGATTTATTTTCGCTCCGTTCCCAGGTTTTGCAAAGTTCCGCCCTAAAGTCACAAGAACCCTCGAATATAAAATGATATTTCTTCAGTCGAATTTGTCGTTGGCGTCTTTAGGACTGGTAATATTGTGCTGTTCCACGACGAAACCTGCAAACCAGTGGTGCTTTAGAAATCTAGAAACTCAGAAATAACGCTGTGAAACTAGTTCTCTTCTAATCTTATTCCACCACTTAACTCCACGGTTGCACGGAAGTGTCGAAGCAACGAACATAAATATTTCAGCCATCCTTACCCCCCTCCAAGAATATCTAACAAGTCATAGCCTTCACTAAAAAGCAAAAAAATAGTATGGTTCCACTTGGAAACCCAAAGTCACGAACACTGAGTTTTATCGTAAATAAGAAGTAGAATTACACATTACCCTGACCTAACCTCTACGAAATAAGAGGTGCACCCTTTTGTAAATTATCTGATATCCGAAAGAAAACTGAACCACTGATTTTGTGCACTTTAAATGTTATTAGTAGAATATTGCTCTTTTTACTTCGTGATCTTGAAATTGGGAGTTTATGCGATAAATACGAACTGGCCGATGAGTTTACAGGCGAGCGTTGTTCGCAGTTCTTCAGATTATCCAAAGACACGGAACCCTATGCATAGGTTACAGTCCTGGCTGTGTAGGAAAATCTACAACAAAAGTGATATGGTTACCTAAGAGCGGGGAAATTAGAGCTATCCCAGACAGTACACGACGTCGGGCCAACATCGGTATTTAATTGACAAGCAATGGTCCAATATTGGGCCAATGTGGCCATCGTGGAACCAATATTGGTGGTACACTGGAATATACCGGCCAACGTTGGCCTGACTTGACCAACGGCTCACCAACGTTGGTAATCGATTCGCTTAGGCTAGCCAACATTGGCCTACCTCAGCCAATGGCTTACCAACGTTGGCAATCGATTGGTTTAGACTGGCCAACATTGGCCAACCTCAGCCAACGGCTTAGCAGCGTTGGCTATTGGTTGGCTTAGGTTGGCCAACGTTGGCCTGTCTTAGCCAATTGGTTACGAACATTGGTAATAAATTGGCTTAGGCTGGCCAACACTGGTCTATGTTAGCCATTGAGTCGCCATCATTGGTAATCGATTGACTAAGACAGGCCAATGTTGGCCAGCTTAAGCCAACCAATTACCGAGATTGGTAATCGATTGACTTAGGCTGGGCAACATTGGCCTGTCTTAGCCAGTGGCTTACCGATGTTATATATAATTGGCTTAGTTCTTTTAATGTGCTGATCGCGCACGCTGAGAACAATCTCTAGCTATGCCTCCGGGGGGAACGATTCTTCTGTTTTCGCACGCAGAGCAAGTTAGCAACTGAATTAGAACGCTGTATGCATTGCGAGCTGTAGCAAGTTTGAACGTCCACGCAGAAAAAAACCGTGTTCGGTGACAGGTTAAAAATAAACGCTGGGGAGGAGGTCGACTCCTCCTGATCTTTCGATCTACAAATATGGAAAGAGATGGGAGGAGCTTCTACCACCTGTCACCGACTATAACTAACACGCGTCTTCCCAAAACTGATGGTTATGCTTAGTAAATTCCACACAAAATACAAAATGCACGCTTCCTTCGATTTGTGTATATGTTTATACGGCAAAAAGCATAGTGCCTCTTCTCTTATGCCCATTTAGCGACGCAGCCGGGAAACCTTTCCGAAGAGGGGGGGGGGGGGGGGGGGAGGCAGGGTTCAACCCCGAAATTTCCACCCGCCTCCCCAACCTAGGACACGGGTGTATTGTCAGCTGTATGTGATCTTGAAAATCTCAAGGCAACCCGCTTTGCTGAGCCGCAAAACGCGGCTTATAATTCAGACTGAACCTGACAAAATTTAAAAAAAATAAATAAAAAGCACTAATAATTTTAGCAAAAAAAAATAAAACCTTAAACAAATATCCAGCGACTGATTAAGCAATTACATGTCTTCACGAATAAAAAATTGCGTTGAATTAACATCTCGAACACCCTATGTTTGAGGTAAGAGGTGACATAAAGCTGATGCGCATTTCAATCTGCAAAGAAAGGTTATCACGCAACATATAGACCTTTCCAGAAAAGGGCTGCTGGCCGGTTTCATTTTCAGTGTTCGTGCGTATCGCGCGTGATTTGCTCGCTTTCCGAAGCGACGCACACGCGCGCGCTGAGCTGTGGAGATCGCACGCTGAGCTGTGGATTTGTAAACATTGGAAAGGTCTATAACAGAAGAAGCGGAGCATTATGCCTGCTTGCCCAAAAATGACTTCAAAGTGCGTACAAAATACGCCAACTGCAGTACTGACTACGGTAGTGACAACGCCCTCAGAAATATAAGCTGTAATAGAGCCAACGGGTTACCTAAGTTGGCAATCGATTGGTTTAAGCTGGCCACCAATTGCCTGTCTTAGCCAGTGGCCTACCAACGTTGGTAATTAGCGGCGAGATGTTTTGGTGGCGCCCTCCTATGGTTCCTCCTTGTGACGTCATTACCTTGCGAACAAGTTCGATGGTGTTTGTAAATAGCATGGTGGAAGCCTGAAATCATTGCGCTCTCAAAGGAACACTGCCAACACCGTCGAAATTAAAGTTCCTTCATTCTTCTTATTTCCGTCGATGGTATACCCTTTCCGACGTCATAGTCAGCTTTTGGGCCAATCGTGAAAGGCCGACCACAGCGACGCTTTCGGTCGCGCACGTCGCCAATTGATTGGCTTAGTCTGGTGTGATGAGCGATCACGCGACCAGCCGAAGAGGACGAGAAAGAAGAAGACGAGGTGGGGGCATGCGAGGAGCGCGAGAGGGGATTCGGGCGGTTGACAAAGGACGGTGCAGACGCGACCAGGCCGGACCTCCGTCGGCGTGACCAGACGTCAAGAGGCCCGACCCAGAACCCACTTCTCACGCAGTCCGGGCGCCAACCTTCCGGAGGTAGACAAGACCGCATGCGTGGCGCAGTTGAACACCCGCGGCCACTCCGTGCCACAGACGTTCTGAGCCTGACTCAAGCCTTCGGCCAACGCCCAACTGCCTCGTCGCTACGTCCTTCGGCCCAGACCTTGGCGGACACCTGGTCATAGGCTGCCACCGGCGTGCGGGGCCTGATTCAAGCCTTCGGCCATCGGTCAACTGCCTCGTCACTACGTCCGGACCTCTGCCCTGACGTCGTAGACCCCTGATCATCGGCTACCACGGGTGCTACGCCGCAAGGACTGAAAAGTCGTGAGCGAGGGACTTTTTAGGGGACACTCAAACCTTAACATTTGTTGAAGTGCTGCTTGGGAGTGTGTTTTACTAAAACCAATGTGGGTTTGAAAGCGTTGATCTTTGACCTTTGGATCTTTTTGTAGATGCCATCAGTGCGAAGCTAACAATTGAAGAATCGGCAGCTTAAAAATGGTGCTGAAGTAGCTGCCAGGGTCTTGCGACAGGGGAGGCTGCAGGAAGAGGCTGCAGGAAGCCGTAATGGCTCCCCAGCCCCAGGACTCGCCCCAGGACCTTCCCCAGGACCAGGCATAGGCTCCCCGCTGAGCTTCCTCCCTAGCCCCTTTCAATAAAAGTTCCGAAAAAAGTATTAATTGATCTCGAAGTAGTCACTTGCTCGCCAGATAAAATAGT